TTTTATGCTACAGTGAGCACATCTCAAGAGCAAGTGTTCCAAATCTTTTCGATTTTTTTTCTGTATATATTTGATCTACGTCAATCATTTTTCATTAGAAAGCCAATCTTCAAAAAAAATTCTGACGGAAAAATGTTTTTCTTCTGGAGTCATCGTCACGTCTGTGAAGATTCAGAAGACACAAAAATTGATTGAGTATGACGTTTTGTTGGAAAAAAAAGCTTTTCGACTTTGGAAACTTTTAAACGTATCAACTTTTGAATAACCAGATTTCCGAATTCTTGATCTTTTGGATTTTTGAAATTTCAAAAAAAAATAATTTTCTGGAATTTCAGACTCTTCCTACATACCTTTACCTTGAAAATTCTGGCTTCATTAGAGTCTGGAAAATTAAAATAAACGAGAATAAATGGTCCAATACATCCAATAATATTGAAAAATAACCATAAATTTCTAATAAAATTATTTTTGAATCGAAAAATATTATTGACAATCAAACTGCTCCGATTTTCAATTAGAATCAAAAATGCCAACATCATCACTGAAATTTTTTGATTTTTCAATGGAACTTTTAAAATGTTTTTATGGAAAAAAAAACCTACAAAAGCCACTAAAAATTTGAGAAAAATAATTGGCTTCTTTTGAAATTCCCAAATCACTTAAAATTCCAATGAAAAATAAAACTCTTTGATCATAAAAAAGGTATGGTGTCGAAAAAAACGAAAAATGTATACCAAAAATTTAAGTTCAAAAGACTCAATTTCACAGAATCCATGATTTTTGGCGGGGGTACGACGAATTCGAACGTTTTCAAAATCGAACAGACCTAAAATCGGACTGATTCAATTCAGAACAGTCCTTATTTCGCACACGTACCAGAACAGAACGCGGACAGAATCGAACTGTTACAAGTTCGAACTGGTAAGGAGTCGAACTGTCCCAAATTGGAACGCTGCCTGCAACAGAGCGCGCATGAAAGCACACACAAAACAGCGTTCCAATTGG